GCAGCTGACAAATGTTTTCAGGCTGGTTGAGTCCGCAATTAAAGAGGTGGCTGCTTTGGCAGTCTGCTGGAGTGTGTGTGTGTGTGAGAGTGTGTGTGTGTGTGAGTCTACGCATGAAGGAATGAGTTTGCGTGTGTTTGTCGACCGTCAGAAGGACAAATACACAACGGTGTTATTTTGTGAATACACATTTGTTTTGAATCTCGTCAATGATTTTTTTTTAATAAAAAAAAATTCCTTAAAAAAAAAAAAATCATCCCAACTGGTCTGTTGTCTCTGTCTGTTATTTGTAGCGTCTGGTTCGCTCCTGCTGGAATGTATTTTCTCCCATCCAGTGAACGTGCGTCTTCCTGTTGGTGCATTGTGGGTAGAGTCAAACACCATTGTGTTTCTGAGGGGAAACAATCGGAGCATGTGTCCTGCAGGAAATGCACGTTTGACTTCTGTTTCCTCCCACTGAGTGTTTGTTTCACTGATGACAAACTTTCTTCAGAAAAAAAAAAAAAAATCTAAAACAAACACAAAAAAACCTTATTTTTAATAAACATTCAATTAACTCGGTAACTTTTAAAAAACTGAGTGAATATTCTGACTCAAATGCTAAAAAAACAAATGCAGGAAATTATTTGTTATGTTCCAGTTATTCTGGATTAACACTGAGGCTAAAATGTTAGCATCAGTGCAAGCTGTAAAAACTAAAATTTGGTTTGAAAAAAAAACAACTAGTTATTAACCAAACTGAAAATTCATCCATGTTGTAGTGTTAGCGTTAGCATTAAGTAGCACAAAATAGCTGAATAAAAGTTGAAGAATATCTGTCGTTAAAGGAGAAACAGAAAAGCTAAACAGAAGTTAACGGTCAATAGTTCATCAAAGTAAACAAAATCACTAGCGTTAGCACTGAAAAAAACGCTAAATACAATTAAATATTTCCATAGCTCAGGTTAGCTTCCAGAAATAGCTAACGTGGCAAATTAAAAACATCTCATTTACCTTTAATGATGAGTAAATTTTGCTAGGCTACAAGCACAACTTCCAATCAAAACACAGGAAGTAGCCTAAAAGGCTAGCATTAATGTAAACCAGAAAAAACTAAAACTGGATTTAAAAATAATCTGGAAAATTATAGATTTTTTAGGATTCTGGATTAAATAAGTATGAGGTTCAAAGAAAAACATTAAAATTAGCTAAATTAGCAAAGCTAACGAGTATGAACTACTACCGTTACCTCTGAACAGGCTAAAATGTTTAGCCTAATATCATTAATAATATCTTAAATTTAGGAAACGTAACAGAAATAAGTAAATGTCATCAAGGAACAAGATTAGCCAAAATTATTTAATTTAATCTGACAACATTCCACAGGCGGGATTATCGCGTTATCGCTAATTTCCACACGACAAAGTCAAAGCCTTTATTTCCAGTCGACACGTCTGAGCTCAGAACTGAACCGTGATGAGTTTCTACAAGGACATCATCGTCACCAGCAGGGGGGGACAGAGGGATTGGACTAATCCCTGGTTCCTCACTGCAGTACCTGCTGGTTTCACCTGGAACAGTGAGCAGTACTCAGTATGTGGAGGAGTATTTGGCCAAAAGTAAAACTTTGTCGTTTAAAACTTCGTATACGTGAAATCTAAGAAAAGAAGAATAAAAAAAAAAACAAAAAACAACCAGCAGCTGGAGCCACATTATCTCTGCCCTCGTGACCACAGTCTGAGCTCATCTTAGTCTATAATCCCTGTCCACACACACACACACACACACACACACACACACACACTTAAAAGCTGAACGATTCAGAAAGGCCAATTAAAGATTTATATTTATACATTTATATGTTTTTTTTAAATAAACTGAAAATAAAAAAAACGAGGACAGCGGTCAGACATGTGGACGAGGACTGTCCTCGTCCAGCCGCCGGTTCTGAACGTCACGGTTCATTGGTGAAAAGTTCATGCAGGACGATTTCAAATTCCACAGCGGAGGATATTTCTTACGAGACGACGGTCACATGACCCTCCACCTGTCAACATCAAAGTCGCCGCCGCCGCCGCCGCCGCCGATATCCGATACGAGTGGCGCGGTTTCATGGCGCTC